TGTTTATCTTTGATCTTTTTCAACTTTCATTATAGATTATATATTCAATAATTTATTTTTTTAGTTGATATGCAAACATTAAGATTAACTAAGCAAATATAAAAATATAAAATAAATAATGAACAAAAAAACATAATGTGAATATAATTTTTATTTTTCTTATGTTGCATGAGATCATTAATATTTTGGATCAAAAATATATTTCTAATATCATTATATTTACTAATTATCAGAAATAATTATGATTTTAAATACTATTTTACAAATTTGATACAAAATTACGTTTTAACTATTCTCTTAGTTATATTATTCAATATTATTTTATATTTACATTATTTATCAACTTGGTTATTTAGATTTAAAATGTAACTTTTAATACAAGAGAATAAATAAATCTTACGATTTTTTTTTCTCTAACAACTCTTATCCTATTTGTTTTGGTTTTAAAATATCATATAATTTTTTTTTTGATTATATTATTGTTTCTATATAAAAAATAAAGTGCAAATAGTAGTGTTAAGTATTATATCTGTATAAATGATGTAAGACAAAGCGTAATCCTCCTATATAACTAATAACTAATGCAGATAAAACAATACTGACTAATATAATTAAGAGAAAATTAAAATCCTAGACAGTTTATTTGAGCCTTGTATCAAAGATATATTATTGATACAATATATTAATGATGCATGCTTATTTGTCATATAATTTGGTGTAGATTATGTTGAAAAAAATAGGAAGGAAACAAAATTAACTTTTATCTTTGATTGTTAACTATTACAATTCAAATTCATTTATTTTGTATTGAATATTTATCTGTTCACTTCAAAATTCTTCCACATTATATTATAAAAACCCTTATTATGTTTGTTTTCTTGTCAAACTATCATGCAAATTATGATTCTTGGTTTCAATATTCACTTAAAAAAAATTAAAGTGAAAGAAATTAGTTAGCAGATATAACTTAGCAAATGATTTAGACAAAATTAATAATTCAATATACATGCATTTTATCTAAAAATATTTTTATTATTAAATAAAAAATNAATAAGATTTTGAATAATATCAATTAAATTCACCTTTCAATAATACACATAAGATAAATATTTTTTCAAAATAATGTTTGTTTGATTTATATATCATTTACATTAATTTTAGTACGAACAAAAAATGAAATGGGCTTGGCTTGAACAACAATATGAGTTCTAAAGTCTAATCATGGACGGCGCTATTATAAAAAATGTAAAAAAAATATCCAAAATGCAACAAAATCATGAATTTATTATATACATTATTATAAACAATAGTGAACATGTTTATTTTACATTTAATGTCATTCGTCAGTATTTTTTTGTAAAATTATTCATGCCATAACTATACAAAAATTGTTATGCATCACTCTCTAATTGTATGAACAAAGCGTATCATCTCTTTTACCAACCAATCCAAATAATGAACATGTTTATTTTACATTTAATGTCATTCGTTGTAAAATTTTTCATTCCATAACTAGACAAAAATTGTTATGCATCACTCTCTAGTTGTATGAACAAAGTACATCATCACTTTTATGGCATGATTGGTATGATGGAATAGAATTTCGTAGGAATGGAATTAATTGAAGAATGGAATGATTATGGGAATGGAATGAAACATGTTTTGTCATTAATGCGATTGGTATGCAGAAGTCTAATTTACCAACCAATCCATATAAGCTCAAAAATTAAGCGTCATTGTTTTGGACTAACGGACGTTACAATATCAAGATAAAAATATGACATTAAAGAATCTAATTTACAATCATTTAACTCTTTTTTATTGTTTAGTAAAGTCTTGAATGTCCATATAAAAAAGAGTAGTGCATATGTAATAATGTTTGAGAAACACATAAGTTGTCCATGTTTTGTTATATATAAAAGTATTTTCAATCTGGTTGTTATTCTTAAGCAATAATAGAGTTTAAAATTTATAAATTTATTAATTTATTGTTATTTAATCATAGCTTTAAATTAATACCATTATAGGTTACATTTCTGTGCCCATTAAATTTATATTTTTATTTTATATATATATATATATATATATATTTTGTTAAGCTCATGGATTTTTTTTTAATATTTAAACTTTTAAACCATTAAAAAAATATTAGTAATCTTACGTGCAACGCCCTTGCATCTTCCTAGTGCATTAAGTAAAAGACTCAATTCTGGCAGCTGATGCAGTGGACTGAATACTGATTGCTGCACATTTTACGTGTGTTCTTCAGAGATGCAGCTCTCAACATGGCAGAACAGCAGCTTAAGAGCATGCAATTGAAGTTGGACTCTGCTCTTTCCATGCACCAGTCTGAGAAAGAAATATGGGACAAAAGACTCCAAAATGTGGAAGACACGTGGCGATGTACTTCATTCTCACCTTTTAGCTTTATAGTGATACATTTATTTTTTATTTTTATTTATTAACTTTTGGCAGAGAGGCTTTTTTTATTTGACTTGAATATTAATTTTACAGTAAAATGTGAAGTGCTGGAAAGGAAAAATGAAGAACCCTCCACCCAGAATTTGCAAAAAGAAGTGGGGGAGCTGAAGTTAATCTGTAAAATGCTGAAGGTTGTAACCGTTGTAGCTATCATTTGAACTGTGAATATTGGTAATATTTATGTTATTATTGCACTACTATATTGTATAGGAAGAGCAAAATACTTTCCGTGATCTTGCTGATAAAATGATGGAGGAGAAAGACAAAGAGATTTCAAGGCTTTTGGATGAAAATAGGGATCTCCAACAGTTGCTGGATTCAAGGCCTTCTGTATGTCTCTCTTTCCACACTGCTGGTCAAATTTGATTCCCAGTTATGCTTCTGTTTATATATTCCTCGTATAATTTTTATCTAGTCTATGAATCAGACAGTCATTTGCTTGTACCTTTTTACTCTTTTAATTAATATTTTGACCACTTTTCTTAATTATTTTCAGGCTGAATATGTTGATGACTATTCCGGTAAATATATTGATCTCTTTAAACTTTGGAGATAATGTTGTTATCATTGGTGTAAGTATCACTATTGTAGTGCTTGAGAGTTATTTGGTGTTTGATTTCCTTGGAGATTAATGGTTGCAGCTCTTCAGATACAAGAAGCCTCGAACTCTAGTACTTCAGCTGCAGAGCAACAAATCCTGGTATGATAGTTTTCCCTGTGTGATCTATAAGAATACTGAACTACAAAATATCTAATACTTTATTCTATTCATGTGCTATTGTTTCTTCTATTCTTCGACTTGTATTTTGGTCATTGACTTGAAGCGAAATGTTAGTAAGGCTTTCTTTACATAATGGTCTTACAAATTAGAAGATACATATTTTGTAAAATTTGAATCGTTATTTTGAAAGTTATATCTGGCTTCTTTACGACTGCCGGGATGTATTAGAGTACACAAACCCTAACCCCGACAAGTGACGGATTTGAAAAAGGCAAAACGGACACCAAAACCTCTGTAGAGACAAAAACTGAAAACACTGGCAGTAAGGCCACAGAATTCCGATCCCACGGAAGTTTGCCGGAAAAAATTCCAACAAGCCATGCACCCTCACGCACTGGCGCTTGGGATGGCCAACAGAAACTTCCGGCGGCGCGTGGCTTACATGCGTGGCTTCCGGCGGTAAAACTTGGTCGGAATGTCGATCCCGAGATGTCGAGTTGACTTGTGTGGGAGGTGTGATCGAAAATAAAAAAAATTATTATATGGCCGTGATACTATGTTACGAACCTGAGGGTTTTTGGATGAATGAATATTCACGTATGAACATGCCCATGTACATAGACTTAGGGCCTTCTGTTTATATGGAATGGGCTATAATATAGTTAACAATACTACTCTTGATGTTCTTAAATACCCAAAAGCTTACTCATTGCATTTACTGTACAAATCTCTTCATGGTGCACTTTTCTAAGAATTTACAATTGTAAGGTGGTTTTTGCAGTTGTCTTTTACTCTTTTCTTTTTTCAAGTTGCTGAATCTCAGGGAGTCGGGTGTTTTTTGTAGCTAAATTAGATAAAAAAGTATGTTGTTTCTTTCAGTTAAAGACTGAATGCAAACTATATTGAATCACATGGAAAGTGACTGGATCCCTTGCACTTTTTTGGAGGTTTCGGCAATCTTCATGATGATTTTATGTTCCCTTAGTTGAATTATTCTTTGCATAATTATTAAAAATGAAAATTTTTCGTTAACCGTTTCACCTATGTTGGTTCTACTTCTTTCAGTATTGTGATCAATGTTTGGACAAAATAATTTATGAGAAATGTTTCCTTTATCTAAAAAAGAAGACGAGGGAGAGGATTAGCACTTTGAGTTTTAGTTGTACTATCACTTACGACATGAAGTACATGCCAGTCATTGAAGTTGCTGCCAAGCTTCGTTGGCTGCTAGGTGACATGAATTGTAAAGATGGTTATTGGTTTATGTCTTTTTAAGAAGGGTGCAAATCTTTGGTATATATAAACATCTTTTGTATTTCTCTGCTACACTCTGCGTCTAGGTACATATTAAGTCTCTTTACAAGGATATTGTCTTGTCATCTAGATGTTTATCAGTTATAGAAACTTAAATATATAAGTTTTTTTTCACTATATTAAAGAAAAAATCTCCAGTTAAGAATATACTTCAAAATTTTGTCTTGGTTTTAAGTTCTTGATTTGGTTATGTTCATCAGATTTTGGCTAGACAACAAGCTCAGAGAGAAGAGGAACTTGCTCAAACACAGAGGCATATTCTTGCACTTCAAGTATGTGCTAGTAAAAAACTGCTTGGTCGTATCTTTGTACTGTTAAGAACCCATGAATATTATGCTGTTTGATGTTCTTGTCATTGTTCTGACAAGTTTCATTATGTAATGAATCTTTTACCATTAAATGGAGACATGCATATCAATTTAACAACAGCCTACTTCTTATCAAGGAACATAACCAAGGTTGACTAAGAAACATGTGAAAATGCCATTGCCACAAAAAAGCTCACAGTGATCTACTGTATACTGAACTGATTTAACAAATAATTTTCATCTAGCTTCAGTTACTTTTGCCTGAGCTGCACCACAATCTTTTTTGAATATTCTGTTCCCCTCGTCCTCGGACGTCTCTTCAACAAGACTAGAAAAGCACCTTTTTAGAATTAGGGAAAAATATCCATGCTGAGATGCTGACATTCTCAATTTAGAATTGCATCATTGATAGCCACTGTTTGTATAGTTATTGGCTGTAATCTGGAATGGTAGGTTCTGGCAATCACATTGATATATCATTATATGATGAAAATTAGTTCCCGTGGTGGATGCTAAAGTAAGGGAAAAAAAAGATGTAAATGAGAAAAGGAGTAATAACTTGAGAGGACATGCCCTGCCCTAGCAAGCATTCTTGACAATCGTGGACGTGGTGTCAAGTAATCAGATCTATTAAGTACAGATAAAGCGTTCTCTTGAAAGGACTGGGATTCTGATTAGGAACTGTGAGACTGCACCTGGGTAATTAAGTTCCCCAAGCAGATTAACTAATCGATTTATTTACTCGTAATACTTGAAACTATATATGGAATTGTGTAGCTGAGAGTATGTACATGACAGGATTTAACAATTTAATTGAAGATTTTAGATGCCATATTTCTTCAGAAGACCTTCTTTTAAGTGAAAAGATTTATGAAGGTTGCTTATTTAAAGTTTTTTTTATTATTTTTTTCCTCAGGCATTTTGATGCCTGCATCTTGATGTATACTTAAGTTGATGTATTATCTTATGACTGCTATCTTTGTGGATGATGCCTCTCATGCTGTAAATGTAGGAAGAAATTGAGGAGCTGGAACATGAAAATCGCCTTCATAGGCAGCAGGTACTACAGAATTTTAGTTTCATACAATTTGAGTTGCTCATCCTGTAAATTATTTCATTTTTTTTTTTTTCTGTATTCCTTTTTGTGAAATCATATTGAACATTCTTAACATAAATGTGGAGGTGACACCAAAGTCATGGGAATCTGGCATGAGCTGTTCTTATGAACACTTCCTGAATGGAACCAATGAATGATACACATTTACCACTTGTTTTTTTAAAGTTTCGACCATTATGTGGATTTTATTTGGCATTAGAAGGTTTTGGGGCTGCATAGTATAGGGACCAGATGGTATAACGTACTCAACTTAAATTCAATCTTGTCTATACTCAAACATCAAGATATATTACTATATTATTTTGTATGACGTGCCAATTATCAGCTGTACAAAATTCCCCCTTCTTATGCTTTTGCTTGTATTTATTTGTTAATGAAAAGTAGTATATGATTTTTTTTGTGTACTAGAATAAGAGAAAGCTACACCATTGCATACATGACATATTAAAACTTTAAAAGGAACATAGATATTGAAACCAAATCTCCCCTAGTTAAGCTATCCTGAAAAGAAGCTAAAATATTCCCATTTATTTCTTTGTTTAGTTGTGAGAATGCAAGGTCTACAAATAATTTGGTATTTAG